GCATGGCGGCAGCAGGAGGCCCCTTTAGCTAAAGTGGTACCTCAGGTTAAGAACAGTTTAAGGTTAAGAACGGACCTTCAGAACAAATTAAGTTCTTAACCCAAGGTACCAGGTTTGCCATTCACAAGCAGAGGAAAATGTCAATGCACCATCTCAAGATTTGACTGTGCCATGACATAGGCTTCAAATGGCCAGAGATGGGGAGAATTTTCTGCACTCCACATTTTGGAGTGGACTGCATATATCAAAACATATCAAAACATGCATGTGTGGAATAGCCCATATTTTTATGAACCACTCCATGCATCGATCTGACCAACAACAACACTTATGAGTTGATCTGATGCTTGTAGGATTCTAAGGTTGTCTGGAGCATCTTATAAGTCCACTGGAACAACACAAGCAAAAAGTTGTTTCAAAAGGACCACAAATCTGTGCATCATAGCATGCAGTCCCTTCCTGGGGAACTGGAGAGAGAGAAAAGATGGCTGATTCCATCTACCTAGAAGTACCTTAGGCTGTGCATGATTTACATCCAAAGCATACATGCATGTTTTGTCTGGGATGCTTTCACTCATCTCTTGCTTCTACCAGACTGAGATTTTCTGCTGCAGAATTATCTGACTATAGAGGTGGTGCTTATTGAAATGAGGCAGAGCATCGTGCCCAAAAAACCCTCACTTGGCCTGTTCATAGAACTAGTTTTGGAAAGCACCTGGCTGGGCTAATATTCTACCGCTGGCTGATTTTTGTGATTTTAATGTCAGTTTGTTTTATGCATACTTTCACTTACTCTGCATTAGCTGCCACAAAAGCCTGTCAACTGAGTAGCAAGGTTACATTTTTAGTCAAAATACATGTAAATGAAATGTCCTTGGTAATGCTGAGGGATGTAGTTGGAATGGTGCCTGATGTAAGGCACTTCTAAATGTAACATGTTGTCCGTCCTGATTTCTATTTCAAGTCATTATAGATTCTTATTGCACTTTCCTATAGACTATTTGTGTAAACAGAGATCAGATATTGATATTTGCACAGGAATATGGCTCTTCCTCATGGATCATTATAAATCATCCACTCTGTGCAGGATTGTAGCCACAGAATTTAGTGAAAGTATCTGGCTTATCAATGGCTATTTATGTGGCTATATGTGGGTTAAACCACAGAGCCTAGGACTTGCCGATTAGAAGGTTGGCGGTTCGAATCCCCGCAACGGGGTGAGCTCCCATTGCTCGGTCCCTGCTCCTGCCAACCTAGCAGTTCAAAAGCACGTCAAAGTGCAAGTAGATAAATAGGTACTGCTCCGGCAGGAAGGTAAACGGTGTTTCCGTGCGCTGCTCTGGTTCGCCAGAAGCAGCTTAGCCATGCTGGCCACATGACCCGGAAGTTGTACGCCGGCTCCCTCAGCCAATAAAGTGAGATGAGCGCCGCAACCCCAGAGTCAGTCACTACTACCCTAATGGCCAGAGGTCCCTTTACCTTTACCTATGTCTGTATATAGCTAACGCATTTTGTACATACTTCCTATAATATCCCACATGTTTTTCAGTGAGATTCAGTGAGTTTCTCCCTAAAATATACATATTGTGCTCTCTCAGACACCCTCTACGTTACGTATATTTCTGTGCACAATTTTTAGGACCAGAACTGCTTTGCAAAATGCAAGGAAGTGCATACGGTAATCTGACAGAGAAGTTGTGTTTTGATCTGCAGGCAAGTTTGGTGAAATCACATTGGGTTGGTTCACTGTGAAAACATAACAAACAAATTGCGCCCTGATCCCTGAGATCTAACCATCCAAATGACTCCTAATACTGTCACCCATGTGTTGCTCATCATTAAACATACATAGAGTCACCTGATACAAATTAACATAGTTCAATTGCTTCTCTGTCAATTTCCACCTCTTTGCAACAAATTAGAATTTAGGCCATAATCCCCCTAGGTGTAAACCCTGCCAAATTCAACGGGACTTCCTTCTCAGTAGTCATGATGCAGAGAATTACACTCACTATTAGATTTCCATATTTATTGACTTGGAGGAAAGGCGTGTAACTTGAAGAGATGTTGCAAACTGCAGCTTGTAAAACAGGGAAAGTTTCCTCACCCAAGTCCTAATGCTTTCTTTTAAGGTACAAATTCATGGAGATGCTTCCCTCTATTTTTTTTTTGCAAGGGTTTATGCTTTTTTGGGGGGGGTCATTGTTGTGAGTGGCTACATGCTTCAGCTGAGCTGGATCAGTGTTAACAATGCAAAGAAAATCTTTCGGAGCCTTAAAATAGATGTGTACTGGTAGGCCTCTTTGGTAATGGCTGGAGACTTAATTAAAATTCATTACAATTAAAATTGATTAGTTAATTGAATTAATGTTTAAATAGGAGTTCTTACAGCATTTAGGGGAAGACAGTGGCAATGTAATCTCCCTACTGTAGCTGCCCTGCCTGGGAATTTACACCATTTCTCATTGGGCAAGTCTTTGTCTCAAGCACAGATTAATGAAGTGACATTTCCCGTTCTGTTTTATTTTAAGCGAGCACGAGACAATGGGATTTAACACCTAATATATTCTGATGGCTCCCTGTGCTGCTTTGATAATGTTTTGTATTCTGCATCAACTATCCATTTGTCTTTATTTGCTTTGAGCTCCCAGAAACTTTCAAGAGAGCTGAACAAATACAATGTTCCAATGTCATTTCACAAGCTCAGGAAAAGGAACATAAAACAGCACACACATCTCCGACTTAAGTTGACCAAAACTTCACATCATTCCTACAACATTATTTTTTAAATCTCTACTGCATTCTTATTACATTTGCTTTTTTAATTATTTATTCTTGCATTTGTATCCCACCTTTTTTCTCCAGGGAGCTCAATGTGGCCTCCTCATTGATCCCTCACGACAACCCTGTGAGGTAGGGTAGGTTGAGAGGCAGTAAGTAAGGTCACCCAGTGAGTTTCCTGGCTGAGTGGGGATTAGAACCCTGCTCTTCCAGGTCTTAGTCCAATACTCTAACTGCTACACGGGTGTCAGGCTTCGGGGAATCGAAGATCAAACGAAAGAAACGTCTTACCAGTTAGATTATTTAATAATCACAGTGAGAGACAAAAGAACAAGTCTCCCTAGAATGGCACTGCTCCCAATTAAGGCTCACCCCCCCATCCCTATTAATCTATGTCACTCCTACATCTTGTAGTTTGTAACCTCTGCACTTTCTGTTCTAACACACTCTGAGCCGTCTGTGTCTTTGGGGATGGGGGTTGAATGCTGTCCAGAGACAGTGAATCTGTTAATCCTCTCTCTCCCAGTGTTTCTTCTGCTAGCTGTTCCCCATCCAGTACAGTGGTACCTCAGGTTAAGTACTTAATTCGTTCCAGAGGTCCATTCTTAACCTGAAGCTGTTCTTAACCTGAAACACCACTTTAGCTAATGGGGCCTCCCGCTGCTGCCGTGCCGCCAGAGCACAATTTCTGTTCTCATCCTGAAGCAAAGTTCTTAACCCGAGGTACTATTTCTGGGTTAGCGGAGTCTGTAACCTGAAGTGTATGTAACCTGAAGCGTATGTAACCTGAGGTACAACTGTATTTCCCAGCTTCTGCCTTCTGAACTATGCCCCTCTGCAAACCACTGTTTGAAATCTATACTGTCCTCCTGCTCCTGGAAAGATTCAGGATCCGTATCCGTATAGGGGGAGGCTCCCACCATTTGTCCTCAGTGCAGCCCTCCTCAGCACAGTCTCTGACACCAGGTAAATCTTGGTGTTAGGGCAGTGGCTGGTGCTGTTCTCCAGTTGGGGGTATATTACTTTGTCAAAATTAAAAATGAAAATAAAAAATAGGGGGGGGGGGGACAATGAAGTCTAGTTTGTGTGTGTGTGTGTGTGTGTGTGTGTGTGGAGTCAGAGAGAGAAAGAGAGAGAGAGGGAGAAGGAGAGGGAAAGGTTTATTTCAGACCTGCAAAGTATATCTGCAGTCAACAGCCATCATTTAGACAACACATTTAAAGGGCTCCTTGCAGAGACTTATTAACTCTCTATCTGTGTGAATATTTCACCTGCATTATGTCTCAATAAGCAATCAATACTCTTGATTAAGTAATTGGCTCAAAGCTGCAAATTTAATGGTTATTATCATAGACAGCCACCATGGGCAACTTCCCAGACAATAAATGCTAAAGCATAGCGAGTTTCCTAAAACTGCAACACCCACTTATTTTCACAGTCTTCATTAAACTTTATGTATAGTCAACAGCCATACAGTGACAGCTTTTCTTTCTTTTTAAAAGAAAGTTATTAATATTTATGTACTTTTATTATTGCTGAAAAGCATACATCTTCTCAGTGGTCAGATGAGGTTGTTTGCAAACTCCAGGAGATGCAACATGGGCTCATTTATTATTAATTTAACTCATAAATTCTCCTACCATCCAAAATAGCCTTAAACAATATCCACTAAGCATATTCTGAATTCTTGTTCCTTGGTTCTAAAAAAAGTTATGGACAACAGCTAGGTGTCATCAATTTTGATGGGAAGATGCCTCCTCCTTAACCTCCCTCATTTCTCTCAGCAAATGATAAGAGTTTTATAGCCTAAAGCTACCTAGAAATATTATCATGCAACCATCTCAAAAAATACATACGAGGGGAATGAAGAGGAAAAGTAATGAGGGATATTTTATATATATATATATATAGAGAGAGAGAGAGAGAGAGAGAGAGAGAGAGTGATATAACATTTTAAAATAATAAATGTTCTGAAAGTTAGTTATTTCACAGTCTTTGTACTGCTTAGCAATAGTTTATATATATATATTTTATTTACCAGTGAGATGATATAAACCTTATTGGTGGTGAATCAGGCAGCTATTGGCAGAGCTATCCAACTTTAAGCTGTTAGACAGCTCAACAATTTCAACAGGACCCATTTGCCAGACAAATCCTAGAATTGGATAGTTGGAAGGGACCACAAGAGTCATCTAGTCCAACCCCCGGAAATGCAGGAATCTTTAGCATGTGACTCGAACCCACAACCTTGAGATTAAGAGGCTGATGCTCTACTCACTGAGCTACCCAGGATGAATCCCACCCTTACACCAAGGAGCAAAGAACAGTGCTATTTCACCCTTTTGACAACAGCAACCCTGCAGAGTAAGTTAGGCTGACTTGTCCATGGCTGCTTGGTGAGTTTCGTGGCCAAATAGGGACCATTGGGTCCATATGACTCAGTATTACCTACACTGACTGCCAGTGACGCTCCGGGATTTCAGAGAGGAAACATTCCCAGTCCTGCACATTGAGCCTGGAACCTTCTACCAATCCCTCCCATAAACAGAAAGGTGTCTGATAACAAGACTGACCAAAGGTCCAGCAATCCAGGCAAGGTTAGACGACTGCTTCAGATGGCAGGATCCACAGGGGCAGCAGATGTCAATGCAGATCTCTAGTTCAGCATTGTCTAGATCAGGGGTCAGCAAACTTTTTCAGCAGGGGGTCGGTCCACTGTCCCTCAGACCTTGTGGGGGGCCAGACTATATTTTGAAAAAAAATATGAATGAATTCCTTTGCCCCACAAATAACCCAGAGATGCATTTTAAATAAAAGGACACATTGTACTCATGTAAAAACACGCTGATTCCTGGACCGTCTGTGGACCAGATTTAGAAGGTGATTGGGCCAGATCCGGCCTCCGGGCCTTAGTTTGCCTACCCATGGTCTACTTGGGTCTCCAGCTCTTTTTGGACTACAACTCCCATCATCCCTAGCTAGCAGGACCACTGGTCAGGAATGATGGGAAATGTAGTCCTAAAACAGATAGGGACCCAGGTTTGGGAAACCTTCATCAAGAGTGACTATTTCAGACAGGAGTATCTGAACATGGATCTATTAGGACAAGGTATATAATTATTATTATTATTATTATTATTTATACCCTGCCCATCTGGCTGGGTTTCCCCACCCACTCTGGGCAGCATCCAACAGAATATTAATATACAATAACCTATTCAACATTAAAAGCTTCCCTAAAACACATCAACCCCATTATTGCACCAAATTTATTATTATTATTTTAGAAAGGAAATTATTGGGCAGGGCAGGGCTAGTCCTGCCTTTAGGCAGAATGAGATGGCCACCTCAGCCGGAAGATGTGAAGAGGGCCAGCACCTTGTTGAAGGTGGAAACACAAACCTGAGTGTGCCATGAAGCCTTTTTGGCACATTTAATTGAGCCTGCTGCTTTCAAGTGCAAAGAAGGACATAGCCATCCATCAGTTTTGAAGTAAAATTCATTTACTTCCCTTAAGTATCTGGGTTGGCTACTGTGAGGATGCTGGACTAGATCGGCCACTGGTCTGATCTAGCATGTTTTTCTTATGCTTTTTTTATGCTATCAATCCAGTTGGTTTCTTTACATAGAATTGGGAGGGAGAGCCATCTTGTCCTTTGTCTCAGGTAGCAAAATGTATTGGGCCAGCCTTGGGAAATAGCTAAATGCATAAATGAACTAGGACAAAATTAAACAACACTGTAGACCAAATGTGGTGTGGAGAGAGGCCAAAGTTGTGCCATTATGCAGCTCATTGAAGCGGTCAAAGCACTTTGAATGCATTATTCTTATATCACATTCATCATGACAACATTGCAAGGCTTATTATATTGTAAATGAAGGTGTCAAAGCTGAGATATAGCTGAGTCAGAACGAGGACTTCCCAGCTCTTGCCCAAAGCATATGATCATGATGGGAGCAGCTACTCTGAACTATTTCACATTTTATGCAGAGGCACACACAGGCTTGGCATTATGCAGAGGCAAATGCAGATGTTCACTCAAGAGAGAGTTGCACCTAAAGTTATGCATAATACATATTTGGAAACATGTCACATCCACATTTTAAAATTTAAGGTCTATCTATCTATCTGTCTGTCTGTCTGTCTGTCTGTCTATCCTTGCTTGCACTCCAAGGACAAATATTATTATTATTTTGCTTTACTTCAGCCAATTAGTTATTGGTTTGTCTGTTTTTTCACTCTGTAACTAGCTGACCTGCTGATATTTATATATTTCTAGCATCATTAGGGACTGGAAATTAGCAGAGGCATAGTTTGCCAGCCATTGTGTACTCCGTACTCGGGATTTGTCAATTCATTATTTCTCATTTGCCTTGATTCAATCATTTCCTTCTGAATTACCTATTTTGCTTACACACACTTCAGCGCTCAAAGTCAGAAGTGGAGGGATGGCAGCTGCATCATTATAAACAAGCAAAGATGGATCTAGAGTGGGGAAAAAGCCTTCTGAGCAAAAAATATAGGCTAGAAATTAGCTTTTCTTTTTCCGCTACAGGTACATCTGAATCTGACAGAAAGCAAAGTACAAGAGCAGAATGACCTCTGCCTTCATAGTTAATAATAATAATAATAATAATAATAATAAAGAATACGTTGAAATTGAAAAACGCCATATCGCGCAATTGGAAAGAGTAGGATTTAACTGAAACAGCAGTGTCAACTTGTATTCGAAGGCACTCACTACACTACAGAACAGGAAACACACCTACCTGACAAGAGTTATAATTTATTCCTTAAATTATAGTAGAAGCAGTCATATGAAATTGTGAACCAGTCACGTAACCGAGCAGCCAATTGAAGTCATTATGTCTTAGGGATGGTTTTCCCATTATTGTGGGTTCATACACACAGAGAGAGACTAAACTTACCGGTATATAGTAAGTAACTACCTGGGCAGTTCAGAAGATAAAAATAAAATAAAATAAAAATAACTGAGCTTTAATAAGGTTAGCATGTACTGTTTGCGCAACAGCAGATGCCCATGTTCCCAATCAGAAGCAGCTGGTTTGCTGCTGCATACCCACCTCCTGCCTTTAATTGAAGTTAAACATAGAGCCTGAAGATGGCTTTTCTTGTTACTTGAACTTCCAAAATATCACCTTCTGTATTCTGAATGCAAGCAACATGTCCTAAATTTTGTTTACTGTACCTGTATAACCGATGAACTTCAGAGACAGGGCTGTAAAAACCAAAGCTTTAATGTGATCTTTAATCTCTCTGACTTTGCAAAAGAACATTATCCTTTTTTAATGAAACATGGTAGTGACTCTACATGACTTCTGCCTTCCCCCACTTACTGAACCATAGTGAGCATTATGACCTATATTTACAAGCCATAAAGCAGCATATTTTTAAATAACCTTTCATATCAACCATCAAACACAAACAGAACAAACCAGTATATATAATTCTCCATCCATCTCACATACTGGAATGTTTGGATGAAGTTATCCTGAGGACAACATAACTCATAGTATTTGAGCACATGTGAAAGGTTTATTAATATGACTTCATAAATGTATTGAAAAGTAGGTCTGCAGTTCTTCCCTTTGCAATGTGTTTATTTACGAGCTCAGAGACCAAGATATACTTGGCCTTGAATTCTCTGGGTACTGCAAAAGTAATTAAGAGACAAACCAGTTTCACTGAAGGGACAGCTGCTATCGATTTATTTATTCACTTTTAATTTGATTTGGTTAGCTGGGTAGCATTAATATACTATATTGCTGAACTGCCTTAAAATTTTACGGCCGGAATCTCTTCCCTTCTCTGTAATATGTGTATGAATCACAGTCTTTAGGGTGAGACTATGCCATTCATACACTCTCTAATAAGAGGCATCAATAGATTGGTAGCCTAAGTGGTAATACCATATAGAATCGCATCTCCTGTAGGCTTTGACTTGTGACTTTGGAAAGGTGATGGGGGGCATTTCAAACATTCGACTCTGAATGCTGCATTTCTGTTCCTAAAGAGGAGAAAATTTTGGATCCTTTGCAGATGGTTGGGAGAAGGAATCCTGTGGCTTAAAGTGCCCTGGGGACTTACGGTGCCTTTATAATATTTATTTTGTAATATTTATATTTATTTTCTTTAGAAATATTAATAATAATAATAATAATAATAATAATAATGGGACGCAGGTGGTGCTGTGGTCTAAACCACTGAGCCTCTTGGGCTTGCCAGTCAGAAGGTTGGCGGTTCGAATCCCCATGATGGGTTGAGCTCCAATTGCTCTGCCCCAGCTCCTGTCAACCTAGCAGTTCGAAAGCACACCAGTGCAAGTAGATAAATAGGTACCGCTGCGGCGGGAAGGTAAATGCTATTTCTGTACTCTCTGGTTTCCGTCACAGTGTTCCGTTGTGCCAGAGGTGGCTTAATCATGCTGGCCACATGACCTGGAAAGCTCTCTGTGGACAAACGCCGGCTCCCTTGGCCTGAAAGTGAGATTAGCTCCACAATCCCATAGTCCCCTTTGACTGGACTTAACTGTCCAGGGATCCTTCACCTTTACCTTACAATCATTTAGTGAGAAATGAGCCTTCTCATGCCTTGCATTTTATAATTTATACCCTGCACATCTGGCTGGGATTCCCCAGCCACTCTGGGCATATTACAGCAGATCTAAAAACATAATAAAAACATCAAGCATTAGAAACCTATTCAGGCATTATTACCTTATGCCTGAAAAAAGCATACAACAGGCATCACAGAGACCCACTGGCCCTGGCCCTGAATCCCCTACTGGTCCCACCTCTTCAAGTGGCAGGAGAGAGAGAAACTGAACCACAGAGGGCGACCCTATGGATTGGTGCCACAAATTGCACAGACAAAGGGGATGCATGCTATAGTCTGGCCAGGGTGTGTAGGCTCAGCTATGCTATGGGCTTAGTCCCACACCCACTAAGCTGTTTCCATACTGCCATTACTGGGACTCACACGTGGTGAAAGTGCTGTTATGCTCTTGAGGGCTTTATTGAGACGAGCTACTTCCCATAGAGAGGGACACAGGTGGCACTGTGTGTTAAACCACAGAGCCTAGGACTTGCTGATCACAAGGTCAGTGGTTTGAATCCCCGCAATGGAGTGAGCTCCCGTTGCTCAGTCCCTGCTCCTGCCAACCTAGCAGTTCGAAAGCACGTCAAAGTGCAAGTAGATAAATAGGTACCACTCTGGCGGGAAGGTAAATGATGTTTCCGTGTGCTGCTCAGGTTCACCAGAAGCGGCTTA